GGGCCGGGGTCCCAGGGCCGAGGTCCGGCCGCCGCGCGCGCCCGCGGGCTGAGCAGTAGCCGCCTCCAGCAGCCCGGGGATGCTGCGCAGGGCGCAGGGCGCCAGGAGCCTCCGCCTGGTCGTTCCTGTCCGAGTTGCAGTTTCAGTGCACGCCAGGACCGCAGCAGCCTCTCTGCCCTCCCCCGGCACCGCAACGACTTTCAGTTCACCTGGAGGCTGGCGATGCTCACCCGCCCGCGGGCAGCGTGACAGCGGGTGCAGAGGAGAGGGAGGAGCGCGGGAGCGGCGGCGGCCCCAGTGCGCCTCCAGCTTTCTAGGCGAGGAGCGCGCAACCCTCTCCAGCCGCTCTCCTCGGGACTGCAGTCCTGACGTCACCCCACCCCCCACCCCCAGGAAGAGCGGTGCGGAGGGTGGGGTGCGGGGAGTGAGGGTGAGGGAGTGTGAACAGGAGTGGGAGCGCGCGCGCGTGCGCGTGTGTGAGTGTGCACGCGAGAGCGAATGTGCCTCTCAAGGCTGGGGACCGGTCGGAACAGCAGCTGGATCCTGCGAGGAGCCAGAAATTGAGCTGCCCGCAAACCGGCGCCGAGAGGCTGCGGTGAACAGCGGGGGGCGCTGGCTTCCAGGTTGGGGCGGGAATACTACCGACGCCGACTCCGTAACGACCAAAGGAAATGGATTAACGCGGTAGGGGCGGTGGGATATCCGGCGCTGGTACTCTGTTTCCCCAAAGTTGGGGGATGCATTTCATGCCTTTAAAATCTGCATTAGAGATTTAAGAGGAAGAGAGGAGCAGACTGTGCGAGAGGGTTGGTTTTCATGCTCCTGTACGAAGGAGAAGGAATGGGGCTGGGGAGCAGCTGTCAGGGTCCTTGGCTTCCACTCCCCCGGCAGGGCCCTGGGAGGGACCCCGTTTTGGAGCGCCAAAGGCGGCTCTAGCCTTAGAGCAGCCCTCAGCCCTCTGCCGCGGTGAACTGAGAAGTTGATGCGAAGGGATCAAAGGGGCCGGGCCTACCCCGCCGAATTCCTTGCCCCGCGTCAACCTTGGGGAGTTTCCGCCAGGATCCGGGCAAACGCGCGCGGAACTAAGCGCGCGACACCGTGCCCGCGGGGTCTGGGTCTGAGGCCGCGGAAGTTAGGGCTGCCGGCAGAATCCCTTGGGACCATGCGACTGAGGCTGCAGTTTGAGTCTTCGCCACCCTCCAGGACCTTACTCTCGTAAAGGGCTGAAGTAGCCACCCAACTTTCCTCGTTCTTTGAAGTTGTCCTGGGGGCCCAAAATAGAAGTCTTTCTGCAGAGGCACCAAATAAAGGGCGTTTAAGAGGTTCTAGGATGGCTACCTCCTAGACCGTTTGACCGTTTTGTGAGCTTTGGGGCTGAGCGCGTGGCTCGCGCGCGCCTGCGGGCTCTGCGCGCGGAGGCTGCACCCAGCCCGCAGCCTCTCGCCGCCTCCCGGCAGAAGCAAAATGCGCAACGCGCTCGGGCCCGGGCTGCGCCCGCCCGCAGCAGCGAGGCGTCGGGCGCGCAATGCAGGGGCTGCCGGAGCCGCCAGCGGTTTTGCCCCGGTTGAGTGGCAGCGTTTTTTCACTGCAAGAGTCTTCCTTCCTGAATGGAGAACACTGATCCCTGGGATGCCAACTCTCCATTAAACTACTTGTTTAAAAAGGAAAGTGTGTCTGGTGGAAAGCAGGAAGTAAACGAAATGGGAGAAAAAGATACTCTGCCCATAAACACTTTCGAACTCCAACTTCTTAAAGTTACTAAAAAGTAAGATCAAACCGTGGTTGAGGCAGCAGAAAGTTGAATTGCAATCCTGAATCTCAAATGGAAACTTAACAAAACAGGAGCAAGTTTGGGATCTGAGTCTCCTGCCTTAGGTTTGATAATCTTAGGAATTCCCGTATTTGAACATTAGAATTCTAGCGAATTAGGTAATGTTATGGATATCCTTAACTATGGGTTGGATTTAACAAATAGAATAGTTAAAATAAGTAAAGATACAGAAGGTTTCTAATTAGAACAAAGAACAAGGGAATTTCAGAGAAGAACATAGGGTGTCAACTTTCCAGGTCCTCTAGCAACCGTCCTATTTTTTTAATATATAAATTTGAAAACACCCTCTCATCATCAAGAAATTATATAACTAAATCCCAGTTAGGCATATTTCAAAAAGAACAGTTCCTCAGTAGGAATAACTGTTCCTGAAAAGTTTAATTCTGATTAATAGTATGGTTATAAGCATGTCATTGACAAAGGAATGGTCTGAAAATACGATTGGGAAGTGGCAGCTATGCTGGTATCTGAACCTTCTAAATGGGGTCACAGTTTTGCTTCCAAAGGTTCAATGTCAAATGCTAGTTAGTGATGCTATATTAGCATAGCCACATGAGAAATGCTTTGGGCATCCCTCAAAGGAGCCACCCAATTACAAGAATTAGCCACTGTGGGTCATGTGGCAGGCCTAAGCACCCCTTATGGATTTCCTATTGTATTGTGTTCACACTTCTGGGATAACTTTTTCACAATCTAGTGTGATTAGTTGCTTAAATTGTTCATCTCCTTTCTAAATTTATAATCTTTCCCAGAGCAAGAATTTTGTTTTGCTTTCCCCAGGACCCAGCACAGTTGCCTGGAAAATAAGTGGCAACCACTTAATAACTATGTTGACTGGATTAATTGTGTGGGGTTTTTTAAAGAGTATAAAATAACTACATTTTAAAATTTGTTTTAAACTGACTCATATGCCACCTATGTGAAACAAGCTATATATATAATTCTGCATATATATTTATATAGGAAATGGGAAGGAGAGAAAAGGAAAAATCAGTTTTCAGAAGGGTAACTGTCAGTGGCTGATTGGGAGTTCAAATTGTCCAGAGAAACATCACTTGCTGCCCTTGTGCTATGAGAATCCTTTCCTATTTGTTAATTGACATTTACATGTTTTAAAAATGTGTTGTTGGAACTCAGCAGCACTGTCCAAAATGCATTATGAACTGTTTCTCATTGCTTAGAATGCAGCATATTATTTAAGTTTGGTATTTGCATTTCTGATAAGTTAAGAAATACTGTTAGCTCATCTTGCCCTGGACTTTGCCCTAATCAGTGTGAAGACAGCTCACACTGGTCCAGGCACTGCCTATATGATCCAAAAGGCTTCAGGCCAATGTCTATGTGATTGCTCACAAACACAGGACATCTATGTCCAGGCAGTTCAATTACATGGTACATTCCAGGGACCAGGTGGAAAATTAGCTACACGCACAGACCAGTTCTTAACTACCATGGAGCTAGAACATCATTTACAAAGAAGGAATAGCTCTTTTGGGAGTGGCGGGGAGAGGAGGTGTTCAGGAGTGGAGACTATTTTAATATAGCAGTGGCTTTTCATCACACACGCCCTAGCCATTAAAGCATCTAAACCAAACCCTGTAGCAAACACAAGTTGGCAGAACTATGGAGACTCATAATTCTGTCCTTCTAGAAGCTCTCCTCTGAGCAAAGCAACCTCAGTGATACTCAATTTCTGCAATGAAAAAATGAAAAAGGGCAAAATAAGGATAAAAATTATTTCACAAAGGACTTCCCTAAAAATCAGTTAACACATATATCTTGTATATATTTATAGTAGATGTATATAAATGCACTTATATATGTAAGTGTATATATATGTGTGTGTATATATATATACATATATATACTTATTGCTATGGTCAAAATTATTTGAATAAATCTGTCCAATTATGTAGATACATTTTTAGAGAAACATTTTAAAAGAGCCTAAAATAGCTCATAATAAAGAAAACATCAAAAATTGTAAACACTTGTTTTTAGAACATAGTAAATTTAGTATAAAACACTGGAATTTTTCTGCAACTCTTCACAGGGCTTAAATTTGTTCTTTATATTTTATTCTTTATGCTATATTAATAGCTTTGTATTTGAACTGCTTGTTTCGTGCCCTCTAATTCTGGTAGAATTAACCCCAAAGACAAAATCTAAGTGGTCAATTTCTTTTAAGAAGTTAAAGTCCTAAAATGACAAATTCAAATTTCAAAAATGTCATAACCAAAATAAGTAGTTGGCTAATATATTTATAGATAGTATTCCAAAATTACTAGTAAAGATTTGCAATAATTTTGTGATGAAAATTGAATTTGGCTGGTATTATTTTAAATACATTAAAACATTTTACTTATACATGTGTTCATATGTTGCAATTATACTTCACCCTAGAATTTCAAAAAGGATTTAGACCATTCCCTGGATCTGATTTTTTTGTTTTGTGAATTAGAGGGTACTACTCATCCTAAATGGACTATACTGACACCGGGTATATTTTTGTCACATTATAAAACCTATTGAGCAATAGTAAAGAGACAAGTTGTTGTCTTTTGCAGTTTAGATATTGGAGAGGGCTTCTTCAAAGGGTAAGTTTTAGGGATTTTTATAAGGGGTGAACCTATGTGTAGATTTGCTTATATGTGAAAACAATGCTGCTAGTTAAAGTTTTTATTTTTCCCATCACTGGTATCAAGTCAAGGAAAGTCCTAACCAAGAGAATGTATTTAGAAGGTCAAGTTCCTATCAGACTTGGTTTCTGCCTCAAAGAGCCTATAATCTGGGATCATTTTTCTTCTCCTGCTTCCCTTGTGAACTCCTTCCTTCCTTCTTTCCTTCCTTCCTTCCTTCCTTCCTTCCTTCCTTCCTTCCTTCCTTCCTTCCTTCCTTCCTTCCTTCCCTCTTTCTTCCTTCCTCTCTTTCTTTTTATATATATCTTTATTGATTTCAGAGAGAGGAAGGGAGAGGGAGAGAGAGAGAAACATCAGTGATGAGAGAGTCATTAGTCGGCTGA